CAACGCACCAGTGAATTCTCTATCCTAGGCAAAAAACAAACCCGACCCGGTGTATAAAGCATGTCAATTTATACGACATTTGGCAATTTTAAATTCGCCCATTCGTCCTCTCTCCCCCCATCGCAAAAATCCCCGCAGCTCGCGAGCCTAACCCTAAACCCTCAGCAGACAAAGGAAAAACCCTGTTCGAAAAGTACTCAGACTCGTCCGGTTACATGTCCAAGTCTCCCTCTCTCTATCTTCTCTCCAAAATTCCCAGAACTCGCCAACTTATATATAATCCAGCCGCTATTGTGCTCCCCGCCGCCTAGCCAAAGAACAAACCCTATTTACGAAACACGCTAATTTGTCAGTGACACGCGTACACCGTGAGCATATCAAATATCGTTACCTCAGCCTCGCGTTCCTGCCTCGTCCGCGAAATTCCCAGAAACATCCAGATATAACCCCGACCGACGACAAGCGTACCCCCGCAATCCTGGCAACGAAAGGATAAACTAAAAAGCTGGCGAAGCTACAGCCCCGGTGGACCAACGATCGAGAGGGGGCGAAAAAACGCGTGCGACCGGGTTCTCCAGAGGCATTCGACTCCCACGTTGCAGACCGGCGAGAACACACGCGCGTACGCGAAGGAACCAGCAAATTGCCGGTGCGCGGCGAGTGCGAGGAGGACGGGGCCAGCGGAGAGAGAGGGCGGCACTGCGGGCGGCGGGCGCGCGAGAGAGACAGAGCGACGTGCACACGCACGGTTGCTCTGCATGCATTTAAAACGGGGACGCGGCCCGTAAATCACGTAGTAGAGCCTCGGCTCGGCTCGTTGCGGTGCAACGACGGAGAGGACGTTGCGCGCCACCGCCGCCACGTGGTTTTCGCGGCAAAACTATGCGGCCGCCACACGCCGGGCGAATTTATGAATGGGAGAAGCCTATTGACAGATCGCGCGTCGATAACTCTCTCGTTAATGGCCCGTGATGGTGGGTGAGCGGCTCGATGCGCCGCAGGAGGACGAGGAGGTGGAGGAGGAGCAGCTGCTGGAGGCCAGGCCGACCAAGGAGGGTAACGGGGGAAACTTGGACTCGCTTTATGCCGCCGGTGCTCGCGGCACACGCCGTTCCCGAGGTGCCACCACATTCTTTGTCCTTTTGGCCGCTGAAAAATCCTCCGCGACCGCTTCGCCTTCCTTCCGTGGCGCTAGCGTCGCCTAGCGCTAGGGACTCGCGATTTCGGTTTCCCCTAATCGGCCGATTACTCCCCGATACCCGTTCGTACACACGCGGACCGACTCCCCCGGTGTGCCTTTGGATCAGAGAAAATGACGGAGCTTGTCGGACTCGATTGATTCGAAGGAGATTGGTGATACATAAAAATAAGTAAGAATAGTTCCTCGTAAATTATATTTATTTGCTTATGAATTTTTAAGGTTGACAATTGAGACAGGTGATACAAAGGTTGAAACATTTGGTTTCTCGTGTGTCTTGGCGTATTGAGAAAGTTATTCACCGAGTGATACATCTGATCGGTTTGATATCTGGGATAGAGGCGAAGGGGCTCGGGGTTGCGAATTTGATCTCGTGATTTGGAGAAGAGATTGGAGGGATGATCTATACGTGTTTGGTTGCACTTTATCTTAGTCGTCATTCAGAATAAATATAGTGACAAAGTTACTGCGAATAGGTAATAACCTCTGGAACTCGGCACGAGTTCTTCGGTAAAGTAAAATCTCACGGTATGAGCTATATTTGTCCTGTAAGACGTTTTACATTTAATACGTATAACAAGGATAAGGAGGATTCTTGTGACATTTGGTTCTGCGTAGAAACACGTTTCGAAACCTACTACGCTATGCTACGTCATCACAAAATACCTGTGATTTTAATTCGGAGAGGTTAGGAATTAGATAAAAGCGAACAGAAGTACCAGACAGTTCTATGGAGATTGGTAATACCGAGGAGACCTTTGATATTAACCTATTCATCGATTAAAATAAACACAGCGACAATAATTACTAAGAATATGTATTCCATTTAGGAAATTATTCGAAGAGTTAACCTTAAAACACACGGTGACTCGAGAATTTTCCTTTCATCGAAAAATCACAGAAATTTCTCTATCTCTATACAAGAGCGAGGAAAAGTACCAGAAATTTCTACCTTTCCAAACGGGAGCGAGGATACACAGATGAAAGCGTAAGATGAGTTCTAACCTGTACGTTTCTAGTAAGATTGATTCCCGTCCGTGGAACAACTCGTTCACGGAAATTAGAAGAAAACGTTACACAAATAATCGATTTCTTCACGGCGTCCGTCGACGGGATTACGCGTCAGTTTTAGCCGATCGATCGGTCGACCGTATCGAAAGAAAATATCCCACTTACATAACAGTACCAAGCACAATCTGTCACTGACAGAGATACTTCTACCCGGTTTTATGGGTAAACGAGCTTCCCTCTGTCGTTAAAAATCGTAAGAACGACAACAAACGCGAGGACGCGAAAAATCCCGTGAAAAATCGACGATGGGGTTTCAGTGGTTGGCAGAATTGACGGAGCAGCACCGTCCGTCGGACGCTTTCGAACGCATCCCTCGATCGTGTTCGTTGCGCTGCTGCGGAATTCGCGCGAACTAGCGGCGAAAAATACGCTACGTTGCAACACGAAACGCGTGGTCTCTTCGTATATTCTCGGACCGAACGAATCGTCGAAACTCGATACGCGAATATTCGATCGCGTGAGAAACGACTCTAGGTAGAGGAGAAAAAATCGGCGAGAAGACCGGGATGTCCGAGAGAGCACTGGGATTCGGTGGAAATTCGTGGTCGACGCACGGGGTATAATAAAACTACGTATAAAGGTATCGGGAGTGCAGAGATTCGACCGGCTTGTCACCGTCGGCCCGATGCGGCCGTCACGCGAACGCGGCTATTTCTCGAGATACGCCTATCATGCATTGGCATTTCACTGACACGAAGCATTTTAGGGCATATTCATAGCCCGGGGGATAAACGACGAAGCTAGGAGGTTCGACACCGAGATGCTGCATAACCTGTATTCACTGTGCCCCTAGCTATAAGAAGCTGTGTCTTTGGGTTAAAGTACGGGGGTCCTACGAATTCTCAGCGATCACGGTATAATATATTCTCTAAATTTCCGTTCGCCTAATTCGACGTAGGCACGTGGAAATAAGTAATGGAAGATTCGGTGGGAATCGGTCGATCTAACTAAACCGGGCCATCGAGTGATCACGTATAAAATGGGAAAAAAAAGTCGGTTCTATCGCCTCCACGCGATCGGTGAGAAAAAAAAAGAGCAAAGGTAAATATATGCTTTTAAAAACATCCCTTAGAACAGAGTCGGGTTGTTGTCGTCGCGGTAACCATGACGACGTTGCCCCCTTGATGGTTGGTCATAACCGTGCCCCCTCCCCGCCACTTGGCGAACGTCGTACCCTTCTCCTTGCTCCTCACGGCGCACAGGCGACGCTAGGTTTCCTCCACAGCGCTGGCCAAGTAAAGAAGAGGCAGCCTCGGAGCCTCCGGTCACCTTTCTCTATCTCGCTCTCTCTCTTTATCGAGAACTCTTTCTCTGTCTTTCGCATCGTGTATATATATATATGTATACATGCATCTATATATATATATATATGTACATATAAACGTATATATATGTATATATAAGTATATATAAGCGTATATATATAAATTGTAGATATATATATACATACATATATATATATCTCTTCTCCGTGCTCTTATTCCTTCTCTATCGCTACCCCTCTCACTCACTCACTCTCTCTCTCTCTCTCTCCCTCGCTCTATCTCTTTCTCTCGCTCGTTCGCTCGCTCCCCCCCTCCAACCAGCGACCCACGACCCACCGTCGTTACCACAGCCACCTCGACCATCCCCTCGCCGCTCCAACTACGCCACCCAGCCGCGGCCACCGTCCTACCTCCACCTCCTCCACCTCCTCCTCCTGCTGCCGCCCGCTGCTGCTGCTGCTGCTGCTGCTGCTGCCGCTGCCGCCTCTACCCTCCCCCTCCCTCCGCCGCTCGTCACCAAGCCCAAGGAAACGCGGGATCGCTTCGAATTCAAACTACTGAACACGAGGTTACCACGCGTCAAATCTGACACTTCGGCACGACGTTGATCCGCCGTTGTAACGTTTTCTAGCCGGTGTCGAGAACACCGTCGGTGACGTGAAACCTTGCCGATTCTCCTCTACGGATCGTGGTCGTCGTTTCGAGAACATTTCGCTCGCCGAGAGAGACGATGGAACACGACGAAAAAGAGCAATCTCTCGCCTAAGAGTCCTTCCGAGAACGACGAATGAGAAAAAAAGTATTCGGAATTTATTTCTTTTTTTTTTTTTTTTTTTTTTACCCCGGCACCACGAAATACGTAGGATTGAGAGGCTCGCTAGCCGACGGGCGTGTTGCAAGGTTTCGAGAGACGGGTTTGCCGGTCGATACAATGGACGAGATCGTGCTAACGGCTAATCGATAGGACGAGATCGTGAAGGATGGTAAAAATGTCCAAGAGATTTGTCGCCTTTTCTGCCGTTCGTGTGCGCCAGCCTTTCACGTTACGAGAGGATAACTTTCAACCGCAAGTTGTGCTCGTCGCTTCGAAACGAGACGTTCTCTTGGATAGTCAGAGGCGAGTAATATATCCGAGGTATTCGTCGAAGGTTTAAGGAAAGTCACACACTGAAACACTTGAACGCACGGTCGAGATACACGGTTGTTCGACGATGGCTGAGGAACGTCGGGGAAGTAAACGAGGATAAAGTCCCTTCGCGTACGAAGACCGAGCTCGAGGAACGAGCAAAGATTTTTCACAGCGAACGGCACACAACCACCTCGTAGCCGTGGTGTCGTGTTCACGTAACGCTCTCTTGGCTGGTCGTACAGGAACGTTAGAGACAGGCGAACACAGGCCGGGCACAGTTTCGGAAGGAAAAAAAAAATTGTGGAGAAAAAAAACTGACGTAGCACTTCTCACTCACCTGACTTACGTCGCACCACATTATTATTTCGCTGGCACTGACGACAGCATCTTGGATCGGTCGTGTACCATACACAGTATAGCGCAATGGTTTTTTGTTTTCAGTGAAGAAACAGTACGTGAAATCGAAGCTCCACACCGTCGGTGTACGCTCCGTGAAACGCTCTGTTCGTTTTCTCTTTCACAGTCTCACGAAATGCACTCACGATTGCGGATACATTCGTTGCCGTTTGCTTGTACCTCGCGTTTCGGAATACCGCCTGACTAGCTCGTCGAGTAACACCACACGATCACTTCGAGTGAACGACACGACTCTCACCGACGAGCCTACTAGTGACTGGCTGGCCATGCAAAGCATTACTGAATACTCTGACAACAGTACTCGTCGAGTGCCGCCGCTCGGTTTTCCCCCGAGCGTGCGCTCGGCTGTTTCCGTTGGACCTCGGCCCACCTGCACTCTAGCACGACGGCACGGCACACAGTGCCGTAGCTACGCTACGTCGCGCCTTTCCCTTCTTCTCCCGTCTATCTCCCAATCGCTCGTTACGATCTTCTCGCACGAAACTTGCGTATTTTCTTGACTTCGAAAATTATATTATCCGCTCCGCGAATTATACTACGCTATACAGGCTCGGTGAAACGATGCGAAATAAAATCGCCCTTATCGATTTTCGCTACTACGACTGTTCCCGGAGCGGTAAAATTTTTTGATTCGTATTGATCTCGTTATATAACGCGTATACTACGTACACAGATTTACGTTACATTATCGCCGGGATCATGCGTAAATTAATATTTCCTAATGTTCGGGGGAAAAAATGCACCTCTTGAATGAACGTAAATTAAAGGGTCCTGGCTATTCTCCAGCCTGTAAAGTTGTAATAACGGGAGCGTGGCGGGTACTTTAATGTTCGCGAAGAAAGTTTCGGAATTTATTTTTACACGCTACCGGTTGTCTGCGCGTAGCCAAAGTAACACGCGTCATTGTGTGTATTTTGTTCGTACGAAATCACGCGGAATGAATTTCATGAATATCGACGCTCGATCATGCCGATGATTTAGATGTTCGATCGAATAATTTTTTGCGCAATGGCGCGGCCGCCGACAATACGAATCCATTAGAGCGTTAGCTAAATTGTTTCGATATATCTATCAAAATACGCGTGAGAAAATTAAAATAGTTCTGCGTTTCAATGATTTACTACGCCGGCCGATTGGATTTCGAATTCGATAAATTATTTTTAAAAGCCATTGTACATCGAAAAGCGAACAGCATATTGTCGACATTCGACCGGTGGTAGATTTCGTACGGGCGGAAGGGTGCGTTCTATTCACGCCACGTAAATTAATTGTATAATTGATATTGAATATCCTCGGATTGTTTATGCCATTCAGGTTGCTCATAGAAAGGAAATTCATTGTTTAAATGTATGATTTTGAAATGTAATCGATGCTTTTATAGAGGCTGATTTATACCCTGATTTATGATACGTGTGCGACATTTAAAAAAACCGCGAAAATAGCTAGCATAGGTTAGGACGACGCACTTGTTAGAGGCGGAAAGGACAAGGGAAGGGGAAAGACCACGTGCCCTTACAGCCTCGCCAAAGAAGGTAAGCGTATCGGATTTAAGGTATTTAAAATCTACGTTTTCTAAATAGCCGGTGAAAATTTTATAAACCACGCGAAATTTCGTTTCCATCGATAAACAAGTAGATACGTGTTTACCGCGTATTTAATAAATATTTGTTTTTATCTCGCTCGTGGGACGAGTTTAATTTTGTCCAATTAAATACGAGAATTAACGTTGCAACGTTTTTCATATAAAAGTGTTTGCACTAACATTGACGTGAAAAATTGTTCTGCGCGAGAAAGTGCACGATAGTCTGGGTCTCGCTCGATGAAAGTTACGGGAGAATGGATTGAGCTACGATGAAAAATTTGATCCGGCGCAAAAACTCAAAATGACTTAGGCCATTCGATAGGTACTACCGAGAACTATTTCGCGAACCTCGCAATTCTCGCGTCGTTTATCAGCAAGTTTCTTATGCCGCGCGCCCGAATTATACGCTATCGAACGATATAAAATCCTCACAGAAATCATCCGACGATATAGCATAATTACACGCCACGCTGGTGTGTGCACGGTGATTTCTTTTAATAAAATTCGTCAATTTTTTCCATTCGATCGAGATTTCAGAAAGCGAATTTACCGACTACGTTATCGAATTATCACGGCGTGACTCGTTTCGTTTAATTTTTGAAACGCGAACGGAAAATAATTCGAAAAATTATGCAGGAGAAAATGATTTCGTAAAACGCACGACAAAGGAGGAAAAATATTTACGAAGAAGAAAGAAAGAAAAATCGGAATATTTTTAGCGTTAGGATAGATATACGGGAAGAATTTAAGCGTTCGATATAAAGTCGAAACGGCGGCTCGATTTCGATTTCGAGGCTACGAAACGGGGAACTCGTAGACACCGGGGCCCCCGAGTACGAGGGAGTCTGCCCAACGCCGTTAGCTTCGAAACCCGCCACTGACTGTCAGTGTCTATACGGCAAGCAGCGCAAGAGCGCTCGAAGGCCTCGGCTCTTGCGAGCCAGCAACGAACGGCAGACAACGCCGCACGGATACCGCGCGCCACCTTCCATACGGCAAGCAGCCTAAGAAAATTCACCGCGAACATTTTTATTCGGTATCGGGTAAACGGGCCGCATCATCGGGACGCTTCGATCGCGAAACAACGGCGCGCAAATCGACGCATCGATCGTCGATCGTGGTTTCCCGGCAGGCCGGCTAATTTCGCGAATTTTGCGCGACATTCCGTAGGCAGCCCGAGGGGAGAGCGTGCTCGAGGCTCTGAGAAGCGTACGGCGGCGTATCGCGCGACGGCCAGAGCCGTCGGCGAAGCAGTTCTAAGCGAAGTCGTTTTCTCCGTGAAGGCGCGGTGAAAATGTCTTCCTCCTCCTCGCCGAGGAACCAACTTCTTTCTCCCTTCATTGTTGCTCGGTGTCTACTTACATATCCGAGCGCTCGCAGCGCCTTTTAACAGACAGAGAGGGAACTCGGACTTCTCGTTACCGCGTGAAAGTCCCTATGTCTATAACTTGAATTTCGATCGATTCCCTCGCTTCGCGGCGAGGATCAAGGTAGCACGAGTTCTCGGAGCGAGAATTCAAGAGACCTCGAGAAATTCGTTCTCCTCGTTCGCACTGCGCGATTCACGGCGACGGCCGAGTCGGTCAAGCAGAGATCGTTGTTTTCGGAGAGATCGAACCGCGGACCGTGACGAGTCGCGAGGCATGTAACGCGTTTCATCTGCTGCCGCCGAGATTCACGGTGCCACGCTTACTTTGCTCATCAAAGAACGCAGAGTCGGGATCCTCGTTTCGTCCAATTGGCGCGTGTCTTACTCACGGTTCTTGTTATTGTTGTTATCGTTGCGTCGCGCACGATCGCCACGCGAATGTAGAAACGCACCGAACGAAAAATAAAGAGGGGAAGCAGAGTGGGGAGTAGGAGTTTTAACTGACGGCTTATTGCCGGCGCGAGAATGCGCCAATGATTCTGACCGCGGAAACGAGCGCGTACCAACCGTTTAAACCCGCTCACTCGCGAGCACAGCCGTATGCAGCGAATGTATAAACGTAATACCTGTGCCGCGACAACGAAGACCAGCGCACGAGGACAGACGAACGCGTGGCTTCGCGACGGAAGTAAAGCGCTAGCCGGGTTTACGATTGGTCGAGCATTGCGCGACAGATGAATTGTGGCCAATGAATGTCCTTGCTCTCTGGACGAGGCCGCGGCGACGTAAGCAAGCCTTATTCGAACATTATGAACCTCTCGCGTATCCACGGGACCGCGTTGCTTGTTCCAACGATTGTGCGTTGCTTTCAGGAGCATCTACGACTCTACCTACTCGTATTTTACGAGCTTTTAATGCCCGCGGATAGACGGTTTTATTAAAACTACATATCCTACCGTTTTATCGCGTCACGATGCATTTTCTAACGAACGTTTATTTTGACGATATTTGTTGTTTTTCCCCCCTCTCTCTAACTCTTTTTCCCCCACTCACTCCCTATCTCTCTCTCTTTCAGATCAAGGATCTTCGTCGTTCCTGCTCTTTGTTTTGCTCCTGTTTTTTCGCTGCCTATAAAATGATGTCAAAATGACTTAGACTTTCCTTTGATATGATTACTAAACTTTCTCATCTAGCCAACGGAATGGGAACTAGACGTCGAAGATGGCCGCGGTGGGGGTAAGGAAACATGGAGGAACTCGCGGGGCGTTTTACGATCGTCTTCGAAAGCTGCGACTCCTGTGCACTTCCGGCCTGGATTCTAGAAGCACCTCCAGGCGGTTTTCTTTTCGCGGAAGGGAAAAGATAATTCAGCAACCGCTGAAAATATCCTGATGGCGTCGGGTACGTAGTCTATAGAGTACATCGATCTTGTTCGTATTATTTCTTCGGAATCGCGGATTATTTTGTACAGATGTTTTCAAGTATTAAGCACAAATCGTCGCAACAATGGCGGACAGACTTTCTACGCTTTTTTAATCGCAGTTCCACGGTTTTCGCACTAAGGCTACCACGACCGGAGCCATTTCATTGGTCCGATGACTCGACATGGTAGATGAAGTAGGCTACATTTGAATATCAGGAGAAACGAAATAAGAACACGGAATGACGTCGCAAAATAGATCGTAAGAATATCATTAAGTGGAAATGGTTATTGCGCGAAATTTTAATTTTAATTTTAATTTTAATTTTAATTTTCATTTTCATTTATTTTAGGAAACGACTTTTGACCATTACGATAGCGGCCAGTGTCGTGGCGAATCTTCAATGGCGCGCTAAGTATAATATCGATAATTACTCAATCCGGGATATACGATGTCAAATTGTTTAGGCGATTATGATTGTCAATATTGACTTAAGCGTATTAGAAGTAACAGATAATACGTTTTATGCACTTTGTCGCGCAACGTCGATCGGGAATCGCGAATTTAAACGTGTTTACGTTACAAGTCTGTGAAAGTATCTAAGTATGGATTCGAAAAAGCATTCGGAATAATCGTGTTACGTCGGTGGTGCAGCGACCGAGGATACTTGGAAAGTCGGGTCAGTTTTCCCGCTGTTCCCGGTGCAACCGGAAGTTACTACTCTTCGCGTTTCCCTCATCCTCAAATTTCTTTTTCAACGTTCATCGATTTTTCTCTCCATCAAGCTTTTTACCTTTCGCTTTTGAAACGTGATTTTCGGAATAAAGTAGAAAATATTTACCTACCAATATTTTT